CCCCCCCCCCCCCCGGTCTCAAAAAAAGAAAAAAAAAAGGAACGGTGCACCTTCCACATCTAGAATTACTACACGTATGATGCATGCCTATATTTTTGAATATGTTCATACCGGAGGCAGCGAGCTGCGATGAAATGTACACCTACTTACCTTCAAAGCTCTTGCCTCGTTCCTCAAATCAACTTGTAGTTTGAGCACCTCCTCGAACTGATTCAAACATGAGACCGGATCGACGTACATTAATCCAGGCAGCACTATTTGCACCAATCGAACGGCTGCTCGTAATATTGATAGATCGATTGCGATACGTTCTCGAACACCCTCTTTTGCGACCTACATAAACACTAATAGGCAGCGCATCGATAAACTTATAAACCTGCTAAAACGCGATGGCATCAATGCTTACTTTTATGGCTACTGTAAGATACCGGCTTTTCGCAAATGGCACATCGATCCCAGTGATCTCTTCGAATTTATGCACATCAACTACACCTTTATAAACCTGCAAAAAATAAGCGATGTCAGCACTTGGCGGGACTGACGCACAAATACTGACACACAATAAATATGGCAAACAAGAACTGAGGAGAGTGCCTGTGAAAGTCTTCTTCTAATCCTCACAACTTCTTTGATAATACAGTTTAACCTGCTGCCAATACAAAGCGCCGGCATATCTGTGTTTCTTCAGTTTTTGCACCGCTTCACATTAAACGCATTGCAAGAAATAGCTCAGACAAACAGTGCGAATGAAACAACCTGAGCGATACATCCCGAACCAACAGGATCAGACTGTACAGATACAATGAACTTCTGCCACCGCCTGTCACCAAACAAGTCGTCCAGTGCAAACTGCGAAAGATTCCACTGTCGAAATGTCGTTTTTGTATGCAGAATAGACATCTGCAAAGTGATTTTATTGTACAAAAATAAGTTAATTCGAATCCTTGTTCCCCAAAACCGCACCTTAATTGTGTATAAGAAGCACAAAGAATAATAAGACTGCTATAAACAGAAACGCAAAACCGAAAATCTGACGGACAACACACGGAATTTGTAATAAAGATACTAATTATATTAACAAAAATATATAAAACTGTATTAAAGAACTGGACAGGGATGTTTCGGTCCATTAAGTCGTAGACATTTCTATTCAGCATTTTTTTGTCAAGCACCAGCAAATCAGTAGATTGGCAACAGCGACTCCTAACACTTCACGCAGGAATTTTGAAGATGAAAGTCTTTACAGGTAGATTTCTTCTGTACTAAGCAGCTGAAGCATTCCGCCCTTTTCGTTTAGCATAATCTGCATTACCGTGGCGCAGTATCAGTGGGATTTTCGAGGATGCGAATCAGATAAATACACTGTGTCAGTGCAAGAGGCTTGTCCGCTGCTCCTCAGCGATCTGCTCGTAGTGGCATCGACAGCTGCACTGTACTGACTGCGAACACTTATAAATGCATGCTGGGGTTTCAGGACTCCAGCACTGGTGAGCAGTTGCCTGGCGTACTACTGAGACTGCGGGTGTAGAGTGGAGTGAACAACTGCCATGAAGTTGGTGAAGCAAAAAAGCTGACAGGGAGGGTACATCAGCTGGGGACCCGTGAGGTGAACAAGGAAAGAGTGTAAAAAAGATATTGGCTAAACAGTTACGATTTTTAATTTTCTTGTATTTTTTAATTTCATTACAAGTTTCATTATAAATTATAAATGAAAGTTAAAGACAAATAAAGACACCCAAATCCATTTGCCTTGAAAGATAAACAATCCCGCGCTGCTCCATGATTTTGTGTCACGCATCAAAAAAGTTCCTCACGAAACTGACTCAAAAACGACATATTTGGAAGGTACGAAACAGTACTTAGGAATAATTTTAAAAAGTAAGAAGACATTATGATAGTTTGAGATCATAACCCTAAGCACTAAATCCCAGGAAACTCAAAAAAAAAAATTTTTTTTTTTTTTTGGAGTTGCTTTTCCAATCCATCTTCAATGATAACAGAAGCTCACTCTGTCACAAAATTCCTTGGAAAAGATATCACGACGTGTGCTTGCCCACTGACCCAGTTTGATGAAAGTTGGACCACTTCTCTGTACCAGCCAAATCGCGCACCTCCACCAGTATTCTCGGAATGTGCTCCAGAAATATGCAACCGGTAAAAACATTCCAAGCGGCACAAAAAATACCGTTAGCGTTACTAGCCTGCAAAGCAAATTCACACTCCAGATAATGCTCCACTGTATCTGCATGCATGGTTTGTTACTCCTCAGCACTGATTTCACGGTACCAAGAATTACTGAGTCCTTTTTCTGCACTTTTTTGTCTTACCGTATAAAATGTATGTCTGTAGGGAACTGGAAATACTTACAGTTTATGATTCCAAATACGGCCAAATGTACAATAACCAGCTCAAGTATTATGCACGAACCCTCAGCCCCC